CCCCTTTGTGTGAGCAGAGGAGGAGGAGGAGGAGCAGCGGTGTGACAGGTGTGTGAGCGCTGCTATTGCCAATGTTTAGTCCGAATATCCACATCAAAAACATATTTTTAAAAGCATTAGCAAACACACTGTATGTCTAGCTTTAGCTAGCTGGAGTGTTTTTGTTGTGGTCAGAGTGTGTGGAGGAGGAGGTGAAGAGTATTTTGTTGTTGTCAGTGTGGAGGAGGAGGAGTGTATGTTGTCAGAGTGTGTGGAGGCATGGCAAAAACGTTATTTGATGAGAAAAAAATAATATTGACTCCGCCTCATAGCCATTTTGGCGCATTTTGCCAAAATCTAACTATTAGAAGAAAAAGACTCCTTTTGGTTCAATCTTTTGAGTTGCTCTACCATTTTGCCACAGGACGAAAGAGACATGTCAGCTAAAAAGACCGCGACCAATATTGCACGTAGAGTGTGTGTGCGTGTGTACGTGCGCGCGCCAAACGCTGCATAGGAGCGAAGACACTCGGTTACACGCGTGCTGATCTCGTCAAGCACCGCGCGAGGTGGTGCTGAATTCATGTCAAAGATTATAACAGGAAAAACTTTCCTCAGATCTGGGAAAAAAGTGTCAGGGCAGGGCCTCGCGTTTCGAGTTCGCACAGGGCCTCGCACCCCTCTTGGGACGGGCCTGCCGGGCCCATAACGTTGCTTTGCTAGGCCTGCAGCCCCCAGAGCAGGGTGTGCAGTGCGCTACGCGAGCTACGAGCTCCGGTCCTCTGATCCATGCTATGCCCTCCCAGAGAGAGGTCAGGCGGAGGGATCTGGTGAGTAGTGGTGTGTGTGCTTCGGCCGAACGCGTGCTAGCCCCTCTGAGCTACAAGGCTAACACGGGGTTTCCCACTCCAGGGGCTCGCCCCCCCTCCATGAGGCAAGAGCCAGGGGGGGCGGAGCAGTCGAGTCACGTGGGATGAGCAGTCCCGTACTTATGACGTCGAGCCTGCAGGACACGTGACCGCCCCCGGCGCACACGGTATGACCAGGAGAGGGCGGGGCTGTGACGTCCGGCTCTCGTTCCGCCCCTCACAGACTTCTACAGCATCTGGAGGGAGCAGGGCTTGCTGACGGTCCGTGGCTGGAGAAGACATTGCGCAGGGGTTACGCACTGCAATTCTCCCGAAAGCCATTCCGAGGCGTACGGGCAGCACGCTCTCAGGTTTGGGGGTCATTAGAGGCACTACAAGCGGAGGTCTCCTCTCTGCTGAGTCGAGGCGCAGCAGTAGAGGTAGACCCACAGGACGCCACCAGGGGGCTGTACTCCCCTTACTTCTTGGTGCCAAAGAAGTCAGGCGGGGTGCGTCCCATTTTGGATCTGCGCGTTCTGAACGAGTGCATTTCCAAACGGCAGTTTCGGATGCTGTCCACAAAACAGCTCCTCGAGTGTGTCAGGCAGGGAGATTGGATGTCCTCCATAGACCTGACAGACGCTTACTTTCACGTGCCGATAGTTCCGGAACACAGGAGGTTCCTGCGCTTCGCAGTGGGAGAGAGGAGTTACAAGTACAGCCGTCTCCCCTTCGGCTACGCGCTCGCGCCTCGGACCTTCTCAAAGTGCGTGGAGGCGGCACTGGAGCCGCTCAGACGCGCCGGGGTAAGAATGTTAACCTATATAGACGATTGATTAATACTGGCCTCATCCAGGGAAGTGGCCGTGAGTCACACGCACTGGGTCCTGTCCCACATACAGCGCCTGGGCTTTGTGGTGAACAGGGAGAAAAGCAGGCTGCAACCGGCTCAGCGCATGATCTATCTCGGCCTGCAGCTAGACTCTGTGACATTCCGTGCTGCATTGTCCGAGGACAGACGGAGGAACATTACCCGTCTAGCCAGGGAGGTTCTGGCGGGCCCCAGGGTCCCCGCTCGGCGCCTCAGGTCCCTGCTGGGGATGATGGCGGTGGCTCATGCTGTGGTGCGGCTAGGCCTTCTCCACATGAGGAATTTTCAGAGGTGGTTCTCACGCCTCAGGCTTCACCCCTCCCGGGACGGGGGGAGGCTTATCTGGGTTCCCCAAGTGGCAGCAGCGGACATCAGGTTTTGGCTCACTCCGGGTCTATTGCGGGACGGAGTGACTCTGGCCTGCGCCATGTCTCACGTGGAGGTGTTCACGGACGCGTCACTCGAGGGTTGGGGCGGGTTCCTCGGCCAGAGCTCTGTAGGAGGCTGCTGGTCGGACTCAGCCCACCACATCAACCTTCTGGAGATGGAGGCAGTACACAGGGTGATGTTCGCTCAGACAACACCACAGTGGTGTCTTATCTGAACAGGCAGGGGGGCACCAGATCCCCCGCCCTCCATCGCATGGCGACGGTGACGCTGCTGTGGGCGGCGCTTCACCTTCTGTCCCTGAGGGCGCGCCACGTCCCAGGTGCCCGGAACGTGGGGGCTGACAGGATGTCCAGGGGGGGCCCACTCCAGGACGAGTGGGGCCTGGCCCCACGGGTAGCTGCGGAGGTCTGGCGGAGGTTCGGTCGTCCAGTGGTCGACCTTTTTCGCCAGTGCAGAGAACGCACAGTGCCCGTCCTGGTTCGCCTTAAGGGCCGCGGATGAGCCGCCCTTAGGTGTGGACGCCCTGGCTCACTACCCCTGGCCAGGGGGCCTGCTGTATGCCTTTCCACCAGTGTGTCTCCTGCCGGTCCTGCTGCGGAGGATCGAAAAGGAGAGGAGGTCTGTGATCCTGGTGGCTCTGGACAATCCACATGCCCGGTGGTTCCCCTTCCTGAGGGGCATGGCGGTCATGGAGCCCTGGGCCCTCCCGGACGAGCCGGGGGCTCTAGTCCAAGGGGGGGGGGCCCTGTTTTCACGCCCGATAATCGGCCGCAGGCTCTGGGCTTGGAGGCTGAGAGGCGGAACCTCGTAGACCTGGGTCTTCCCCCGGCGGTGGTGGAGACTATTCAGGGGTCAAGGGCGCCGTCCACTGTGAGGGCCTACGCCACGAGATGGAGGCTCTTCAGCGACTGGTGCGATTCTCGCTCCTGGGATCCCAGGCGTTGCCCGCTGGAGGGAGTCCTGGGATTCCTCCAGGAACTTTTTGAGAAGGGGAGGGCTGTCGCCACCTTGGCGGTGTTCGCGGCAGCCATTACCTCGGGTCACGACGGTTTCGGGGGGTTCACAGCCCGCTCTCATCCGTTGGTTAAACGTTTTCTGCGGGAGGGGCGCAGGAGGAGGCCCCCGCTTCAGAGAACGCCCCCGGTTTGGGACCTCAGGGTGGTCCTTAGGGGTCTGTCGGGCCCGCCTTTTGAACCGGCGGTGGAGGCGAGTCCCGAGTGTGTTGTTTAAGAATGCCCTCTTGCTGGCGTTGGCGTCTGCTAAGAGGGCGGGCGACTTGTGTGCGCTCTCCGTCCATGCGTCTTGCCTGTCCTTTGGAGAGGACGACGGCCTGGTGGAGTTGTGGCCCAATCCGGCTTTTCTCCCTAAGGTCATCACGTCGGCCTTCAGGTCGAGAGTGATCAGGATTAGGGCATTCCATCCGCTGCCGCATGCCTCCCGCGAGGAGGAGCGGCGGCACCTTCTGTGTCCTGTCAGAATGCTTAGGCATTACCTGGCCATGACGTCTTCATTCAGGTTGGTTGATCAGCTGTTTGTGTGTCTGGGCCCCAAGAACAGGGGCGCCCCGCTGTCGGCTCAGCGGCTGGCGCACTGGGTCGCCATGGCTGTGCGGCGGGCGTATCAGGCTCAGGGTCTGGCCCCCCCGGTGGACTTCAGGTCGCATTCCACGCGTGGGGTGGCGGCCTCTACGGCCCTCCTCAGGGGGGCGTCGGTCGAGGGCGTGTGCCGTGCGGCTTCTTGGCCGTCGTCCTCTTCTTTCGTCCGGTCTTACCTTTTGGATGTGTCGGACCGGTCGGTGGCCCATTCCGTGCTGAGTGCAGCGGACTGAGTTGCAACCTTATGTTCCCCTCTTAGGGGCCGACGGTTGACTTTCCGCCCTGGTTCAGGAGCTCTTGGGAGTGGCGTCCTGCAGGTGCGGTATATGTGTGTGCTTTGGTCAGTCAGGTAGTCCACGTCAGGAGCTCTTGGGAGAGGCGTCCTGGGACTACGGGTGACCTTCGGTCTGTGTTACTTGGGGGTATCCTTGGGAGGAGTGGCCCTGTAACACGCAATTGCTTCTTCTGTCCTGAGTCCCCTCACTGTGTGAGGGTCTTGCTCGGGAGGAGCTCCAATCACTCTTCGCTGGCCTGCTGGGAGTACATGTTCCTACGGCCTCCGCGTTGTGTCCCACTAGCGAAGTCCGCTAAGGGACGTAGCACCATGACGTAGAATTAATAGTTACCTAATGTAACTTAAGTTCTACGAATAGGTGCGTAGTCCCTTAGCTACGAGCCCATCAGGCCAGCCCGGCTTGGCAGAGTTCAAGAGGGGGCGCGGCTATGGAGCAAGGGCCTTTATAGAGGAGGGTCGCTAGTGATTGGAGCATTTTTTGTTGATCTCTCTGGCGTCTGTGACCTGGGGGTCACGTGATATCCCACTAGCGAAGTCCGCTAAGGGACTACGCACCTATTCGTAGAACTTAAGTTACATTAGGTAACTATTAATTGTCTCTGAATTAAAGTCATTGTGGTTAACTGTTCCACTCAAAAAGGAAAGAAAAAAAGAGTCAATGATTGTACTAATTGTATCACAAATATTTTATTTTGGAAGGCTCAGACTCAGTGGTCGTGGCCAGAGACTGCAGCCTGCTGTATTTAACATGAAGCCACCCCTCAGCCTCACAGGGACACGGTGTCTTTGGTGTATACCCTTCGCGTGCGCTAAATCCGCTTTCAGTACAGTCAGAGATTCATGTTATGGTCCCACAGACTGTATTTATTACCATAGACTGTTTTTATTAACATAGCACCTTGGAGTGTATGTCATTGAAGAACCAATAGCAGCTCAGGAAGTGTAAGTACAGTACAGTGATGTAACTCGTTTACATTGGTTTGTCTTTTACACGAATATGTCAATAGATAGCTCTGCTGGCAATGGAAACGCGCTCCAGTGAAAGGGATTATGCTTTGGTGCTCGCGGAAGGAAAAGCAGCGGATGAGCTTCGCCCCGGTCCCGGTGCTGGTAAAGAACAGAGACCCACATGGGGCCGGCGTCTGGAGTTCATCCTCGCCGCGGTCGGGTGTGCGGTGGGACTCGGCAATATCTGGAGGTTTCCTTACCTCTGTTACAGCAGCGGAGGAGGTAGACAAAGAAACTTTTTAATTATATTAATGTGGCAACGTATTATGAAGTCAACTGAGACTACATGGAAATTCCACATTTTTAAATAGACATTGTGCTGTCTGATGACTGTCCTAAAGTAATTACTTTATTTTTACATCGGGGTTTCTTTTTCCTGTTTAAAAGAACATTTGGAGTTCTTCATAAAGAAAATACGTGTACTATTTTGTTTTAAGTGAAATATTTGTAAAATTTCCGTTTACATAACACAAGAAAACTCGTATTTCAAGCTGAAGCCCTGATTTAGCAATCTTAAAGAAATAGAAGAAAATAGTCTAATAAAATAAGTTTAATCTATGAATATATTTCTATTGAAATAGGTTCTAGGACCTAACTGCAATCATACGTTCATCTTTGATATATTGATAGATATTAAGTACAACGGGGATGTGGAGAAATCTGCTGAGATGTTACGTAACAAGGAAAATGCTGCTTTTCAAACCCAGTGTCTTTAGAATAAGCATAATTATATTGTTTTGTTTTTTTTCTGCAGGTGCCTTTATTATTCCTTATCTCACAATGGTAGTTGTGTGTGGTGCTCCCCTGCTCTTTATGGAGTTCACAATAGGACAATATACCCGTTTAGGACCTGTACATGCGTTTGCCAAGATATGTCCTCTATTTAAAGGTAAGTGGTTATACTATAAACTCAGTAGATGACCAATTTTTTATAAGAAAATGTTCTCTTCATTATTACATGTGTATAATAGGCATACGGTAACTATTAGGATATGCCTGATACATTTTCATTGATGAGTGGATGAGCTGAAACCCATGTATACACTGTCTTTTGATCAACAGTTTGAAATTCACTTCAATTCAATTTATTCTTGTAAAAGCCCTAAATCCTAACAGTAGTTATCTCAGGACTTAACGAAACCGATGAAATCGCCAACACTGATCAGATATGGAAAAGTGTATAGTTTTACAATGATCTGATAAACTTAAACTCTGATTTTTATTTATTTTAATCATTGTTTTACTTTCTTCTTACTACATGTTTTCAAAAAATGAATAATGAAACTTTGTCATGAATGTATTGACAAGGGTTGAAAAAAATCCTCCATGTGTTGATGGCCGGGGACTTATAAATTACACACACATTTGATGTTGGTTAAGTCACAGTAAACTGCCAAAGCAAACATCTCAATAAGCCTAAATATCTATTAAACTGTAAAAGTTACAGTTATAGTCGAGACCCCAGCCATCAAGTGACAATTATTTTGGCAATGCTGACCCTCTTACCTGATGTAAATATTCTCTTCAAAGTTCTTCTCATCTCTTTAAAGACAGAGACTATCTACCCGGTCAAAACAATCTCCCATTGATTTATCGCTCATTTCTTCCTGGTTTATGCTCTGTGCTAAACAAGGGCCACATGCAGGTAGTTCCTTCTGTTTTTTGACTGATTTTCTTGCTCTAGAATAGATCAAATGCTGCAGACATGTGAACCATTAACTAACAGCATGTTATCGTGTATCAATCAAGTGTTATGGATATCAAAGTTGATTACGTTCTAATTCTAGCTTATCTGAAGAGTCAAAGAAAAAGCATTTCAAGTGTTTCATTTGTTGATCATAAAGCACATTTTAGGCTCGAGGCTTCCCTCCATGCATTTCACAAATAGAACTATGCATGCAATGACTCATTATTCAACGGAAACGAGAGCAATGAAAAAGCATGTCATGTAAATGTAAAGCCAGCTATACTGGTTTGAAGAAGAAAAAAAAAAGAGTCGCACCTAAGCCTGAAACCCGACACTGCCACAGGTGTGAAGCAGCCGAATCATTTATGAGGCTCCGGCGCTCTGAGAGGACAGGATCAAGTAGTTTCTTGTCTTGTGAATATTTTTTTTACTCTACAACACTCGAGTTTCTTGACTGTGAACAAATGTTAAAACGTCCCGGGGGAAAAAAAACGACTTTAGATTCCACTTTTTATGACTAAACATCTGTATTGCTTGATGGTCCAGCTGCTGATGTGTTTCTGTATTAAAATATGAATTGATATTATTTGATTTATATATTTGAACTTCAAAGGCAAGTTTTATTATAAACCAAACTCAGGGAAATCTACATGGGGCTGGATCAGTTTTATGCCATACTGTGGATAATTATAAGAAAATACATTTCCATAGAAAAAAAAGGAGTGAAAATGGAGTGGCATCGATTTATTATGGTGAGCTAAAGATGATCAAAGGAAGATGAAAAAATTGACGAGTGTAGAAAAATATGAGTAGTTTTTGATTTACTGAGATAAGTATAAATAGCTGGCTTGCATCACCACCAATCTGACTGGTAAAGAACTGGAGGAATTCCTCTTTCTGTTGTTGTTGTTGTGACAATAATGATCCACAGTTTGGCCTCAAAAATAAAATTTCCAGGATTATTACTTTGTGTTTGCATCAAGCTCACGTGACAGACATGACGTTTCCAGTGCCCTCCAGTCCTGTTTTGCGTCTCACTTTGTGTGTTTTTGGCAGGTGTTGGTCTGGCTACTGTTGTCATCTCCTTTGTGTTTTCCACTTATTACAATGTGCTCATGAGTTGGGGACTATTTTATCTTTTTAACTCATTTGGATCGACTTTACCATGGCAATCATGTAACAACTCTTGGAATGTAATAGAAAATTGTTCCAGTGGATTGACTGGAAATGCAACCTTTCTCCAGTCAGCAAGCCAGCAGTTCTTTGAGTAAGTTGTTTGTGTTTTTAACCACACACTGTATAATGTCACAATAAAAATCCACACTATTTTTGTTTTCTTAGTAATAATCTTCTTGAAAAAACGAAAGGCATAGAAGAAAGTGGTGGGATCCGCTGGGAGCTCTTTGGCTGTCTGCTTACGGCTTGGGTCATTATCTATTTGTGCATTTTCAAAGGAGTTAAATCCACTGGCAAGGTCAGCTATCCTCTTTGTACATGTTATTGCTGGCCATGACTACTCAACATTAGTTATCTGTAAGTTTAAGTATAGCTTCTTTCCTAAATAACTGTTTATATTTGTTGCCACTCAGGTTGTGTATTTTACAGCCGTCTTTCCATACTTCATCCTTTTCGCCTTGCTTATCAATAATGTGCAGCTCCCAGGAGCTGTCAATGGCATACTGTTCTTTGTGACCCCAGTGTGGAGTAAACTGTTCCAAATTAAGGTGAGTACATTAGTGACATGCTGCCTGGGTCAGCGCTCTTGAAGGTCTCAGGTTCAATTCCCCGACCAGAGGAGACGATGATGATACCTTATGATTCTTGCACTAGAGCACTGATCTTTAACTGGCGGCCCGCGGGCCGGATCGAACGGCTTGACGGGCCGGATTTGCCCCACGGGCTGCTTGATCACTGTATTCCAAAATTGTGAGGATCAAAAACAAAATACTGATTCACACCATTAACCCATCCAGGCCAGAAACGCATTACAGCATTTCTATCATCTAGAGCTGGGAGCAGTGGAAAGCAGACACGTCTGTTTATCTTTTTTTAATCAATTCTCTTCATTGGTCAAATGTGTGACCGCAGAGCACTTTCTGTTGTTGTTCGTATTCGAATGGAATTCCACGTCCTGCTGCGGAGCCACTGCAGCCGCTTTGTAATGACAGTGGTTCCGTATTCAGCAGCTGTGGGCCGCTTTGACAACAGCTCAGCGACCATTGACGTAACGCTGTCCAGGCGTCTATGGTCCCATAATGTACCCAGCGCTGGGTACCCATGGGTAGATTATGGCCGTTCGCTGAGCAGAACCTTTGGAATCCAGTCGTCAACTTTATTTATTTTTACTGACAGTTGTTTTTGATTTAATAACAGCTGTTTGATTTTGAAAAAAATCTAAAACAACTGTCAGTAAATATAAATAAAGTAATAAAATACAACACTGATAGCTATGGTGTGAATCAATATGGACATGCCATACCATATTTTAAAGTTCAAAACAGCCCGAATCCAGTAGAATGAACACAAAATTGATTTCTCACAAAATCATAAATAAATGTAACTTTAAAACCTTGTTTATTATTATTAATCTTTATTAAGGACACAAAACAATACATGAAAAATAAATATGTACATAAAAAAGAGAACATTACAGCTGCTGTACAGTATAAAGGCATGACCTCTAGTAAGTCCATAATTTGGAGGTGAACAGCAGTGAGCAGAACTCGGGGCTGACCAGAATTTGAACAATTGCAACATTCGAGTTTCACAGACGACACATAAATCTGAACTGAACATTACAAAGGAATGCAGATCAGGAGCGGATACCACAGAAGGTTTAGACATGTGATGTTTCTTCTTTTACAGGTTTGGGTAAATGCTGCTGCTCAAGTGTTTAACTCTATTGGAATCGCGTTCGGCTCGATGGTTTCCATGTCCAGTTACAACAAGTTTAATAACAACATCCTCAGGTAATGCTGTCAATGTCGGTTGCATTAACACTTTTTGTGACTGCAGTCTGATCAAATCAAGTTATTTTCTAAATCTTTTTCTGTTTTTGTTTAATTTAATGCATGATTTAATTTGAAATATGTTTATTTTGGTCAAACAGGTAAAGGAACTCTATATACTACTATTTTAAACTTTATTATGCATGAGTTAGCAAGTCTTGTCTTATTGTTATTAGTTAAAGGTACACTGTATAAGATTTGGGGGAAATAAATGTCCAAACCCATGCCTGAATCTGCCAAAAGACTATGTTTGGATTGTGTATTTGGAACCTCAGGGAGGAGCCACAGTCCCAATGGAGCCAAACCCCCAGGACCTGGGACAGGCCGTCTCTCAGTTGCTAAGAAAATACCCTGGTGTCCCTTTAGAATTCTGATTGGACTTCTTTATATGTGGTTAAATTTAAAGGTCTGTGTATTGGTATTGGTACTATTTAGAGCTTAGTGTTTTACCGTAAGAAGGCTACAAAACAGAAAAAAAACATGTCAAGTTGATGCACATTAACTTAAACCTTAAAGGAATATAGTAGGATTTACTCAAATGTTAGGAAAGAACTGCCCTCTTCACTCTTTGAAAAAAGCACATGTGAACGCTCTACCTGCTCCTAAGAGGGAACACCTACTAAAACATGTGAGAGAGACATGTACGACCCCAGTTCTCCTCGTCCACACTGACAATTAGGAGGACCAAAAGCAGTGGCGGCTGGTGGAATTTTCTACTGGGGGGGCTATGAATATGATGACTAGATATATACCAGCAGTAAGTAAGTTTACACTGACTGTTGTGACTGAAGCCTCACACGAGAATAAAATATTTATCTTCCCAAACATAGCTAATTTGAGGGCATTTTGCATGTGGATACCAGTCTGCTCATGCTTCTTTGCCTTTTCTAAAAAGTGCTTCAGATCAGTCATACCTGTCTTGATCCATGCTGGGTCAGATCCTGATGTTTGAAACAAGAGGCATGGAAAGCAAAATAAAGCATTAGCCTCGCTACATGCTGCTAGCCAAGATTTGGCGCTGAACCAGGTCCTGGAAAAAGTACGAGTGTACCGTCTCCCCCTGTCGCTGGACTGCTGACTAATGGTAATATTTGGCTGATCAGGTCCAAGCTCTTTAACCTCAACCTTCTCCTGGTATGATCTTCTCTCAAACGGTATTGTTTTGAGTGATCTAACTGAATTATTCTCTTCTTTTTCTCGTTCTCCATTTTGCGTCTCTTTACGTTCGTCTCAAACTCCCACAGCTTGACCTGTCAATCACTGTAAACGGACGTCACAGACAGTGACAGTACAGGTCGCGGGCGATCCCGCCCCCTCAGGGCGCACTTCTCCTGCGCCCCCAAATCGTCTTATCTCTTGCATTGAGGAACTACTGCGCATGTACAACTTTTAACGAGAGTCCATAGACGGCTCAGGGCGCAATCTTTTGCGCCCTGAGGCGGAAATACGTCCTCAGTCCGACACAGACAACGCTGATGAGCTTAATCAATCCAACTCAGCATAAACTATAAAGTATTTCTTCCACATCTGAAATAAAACACACATAAATTTCGAAATATTTTAATGTTATTATTTTTTTTAACGTTTTATTCAAGGTAACATGGCAAGTTGTGAGTGGTGGGGCGGCGCCCTAGCGCCCTCTATTGGCCGGCCGCCACTGACCAAAAGTCGTTGATGATCCACCCGGAAAAAGAAAATCCTCCTGTATACCTTTTAAGTACGAAGTATAAGTATAATATAAACCATAGACGGTTTATATTGGTAGAAACATATATATGTTTGAAGATGTGCCCTAATAAGCTCTTGTTTTACGAAGAAATAACGGCAAAAGGAAAAGTTAATAAAACCTAATAAATATTGAGTTTTGGGCTGTTGTAGTGCTCCAGGTACAAAGTGTAGACCTACGAGAGACCGCTGCTGAGTGTCATATCACTCACCAACAAATGTTAAATAAAAAGGGCATAACTTGCATAATTAATCATTAAAGTGTAAATCATGCTTTCCTCAGGGATGCTTTAATTGTGGCAGTGATAAACTCCTTCACAAGTATCCTGGCTGGCTTCGTGATCTTTTCTGCTATTGGCTACATGGCACACATCCATAACCTCCCTGTGGACAACATTGCCACAGACGGTGAGTACAGACAAAGCTTGGTGAACAACGACAGTCACATTAAACTGCTCAAATGTTGAGATTGTGCACAACTTTAAATATCTTGGGACAATTCAGGACAGCCAATTTACAAATGAATGCTGTGAGTATCTCCTGAGAAAGCTCAGCAGCATAGGCTTCAGTTTACAAATCATTGACTCTGTCTACAAATCAATTGTGGCGAGTGTGCTCATGTTCAATATGACAGCAAAAAACAACAAATTCAATAAAATTGTCTCGTCAGGCAGATGGGGCGACCACAGAAACCCCTGTGCCAGCTGTAAGGAGACATAGTGAAACATTATGTTGGACCCTTCCCATTACTAAAAACATGCACAATGGGTCAAATCCTCCAGCTCTGGTCCTGACTCCTGACCAAACCGAGTATCGACATATGGAGATGACAAAAGCCTTGGTGGCATCAGGATACAGAGGACAAATTTCCCTACCGGGACAATGAAATGCACATTTAGAATAAAACCTAAACCTAAATCCATGTATTATTTAATGACTACAGCATGTAACTTAACCAGCCATTGTGTGCATTAGTGACACATGAAAGAGGATCTGCCTTATGCCTCATCATCTCTACTGTGCTCTCGCATTTAGGTCCTGGATTAGTTTTTGTGGTGTATCCTGAAGTCATCACCACCATGCCAGTGTTCCAGCTTTGGGCGCCTCTATTCTTTTTTATGCTTCTATGTCTGGGCCTAGACAGTCAGGTACATTCTTAGTAAATGATATGTTATTACAAAATTTGCTTCATAATCTGCTGTCTCCTCCGTTTATGTACATTGACTCACATTGTCTCTACTAAACACCTGTGTTATTCATAGTTTGCCAATGTTGAAGTTGCAATCACCTTCTTGAAGGATGAATTTGGGACTAAAATACTTCCGTTTGTCAAGAGAGATGAGCTCTTGGTGTTGATAGTGTGCGTGCTCTGCTTTTTACTGGGGCTGCCTCATATTACCAAGGTCCAGTATGTTAGACCAGAATAATCTTTTATCCTATCTGTAATAGTTGCTATAATTGTATTGATTATTCTCTTTCATAGGGAGGCATTTATGTGTTCCAGCTAATGGACCATTACACTGCTGTGGTTTCGCTTATGTTTCTGGCATTTTCTGAAGTTGTGACTGTATGCTGGATTTTTGGTAGGAAGATTTATTTTAATTTTATTTATATTTATCACATCAATTTATATAGTTTAACTTTGTATCTAACTGTTCATGTATTGTCATAATGTAGGAGTCCCACGCATCTCTTACATGGCCAAGAGAATGCTAGGGAAGTCTCCAAACATCTACTTCCGCATTTGTTGGCTTGTTCTCTGTCCTGTTTTGGTCCTAGTAAGTATTATTACCTGCCAGAATGATATGTTAATTCTACTATAACACTGTGCCTAGTGCTTGTATATCTATTTTCAGAACATGTATGTTAGGATGTATGTTATTTTGTTTGGTGGAGTTGTATCCATGAAATAAATATCTCAGTGTATTGCTGATTGAATGCCTCATGTTTTTTACTCCTCAGTGTATTTTGGTGTCCAGTATCGTGCACTACTCTCCAGTGCGTTATGGAAACTACGCATATCCAAAGTGGGCTGACGGTGTAGGCTGGGTCGTCTCTCTGGTGTCTATAATCTGGATCCCGCTGGGGGCCATGCATGAGATTTATATAAACAAAGGATCTCTTTATGAGGTAAGCCCACGAGTCGACGCACAGTTCAAACATCTTTCCATACAGTGGAGATTGAAAGTTTATATATCAGTCTTTGGCCTTATTGGTGGCCGACGGAAGAGCTACAGATGTTAAAACTATCTAGTTCCCTGAGATTGTACGTAAGCCGAAAAAAAAGAGTAGAAGTGGGTGTCTCAAGAAGTCCTACCAATGGCTAGGAAGGGCTGGCCTACAGGACAGCACAGAGGCACTCATCATGGCAGCACAGGAGCAGGCCCTGAGCACCAGAGTGATAGAGGCACAGATATACCACACCAGACCCAAGGTGTCAGACGTTCAAAGAGGCACCTGAGATGATCCAACACATACCTGCAGGGTGCAAGTACGTGTGGCTGGCATTGTGTACAGAAACATCTGTGCAGAGTATGGGCTGAAAACCCCAAGGTCACAATGGGAAACTCCTCCAAAGGTGATGGAGAATGAGTGAGTGAAAAGCCTTGATAATCTTGGTCCAGAAAAGTGCAGATACTGCGCAGAAACCTCAAGCTTACAGGCCTCTGGTAGAGGACTCAAGCTTAGAGAGGGATAATCCTCCACAGAGGGTGAAGGTAGCAAATTTTGGGCTTGGGAAACCCTGTTGCACACTGTGAGCAATTCTTGGAAGGTTTCAGCATTGTAAATTATATCTTTCCTTTTTCAGAATGTTATGAATTGTCTCATTGTTCTAAACACATTCTTATTTTGTCCCAACAGCGATTCACAGCAGCTATTTCACCTACACTAGATCTGGATATGGATAACTTTCCAAGTAATTTGAAACAACAGACAATGTTAAAGTAATGTCTTTTGTCACTGAAGCTTTTATTCATCTGAAAAATACAAATCTTTGGTGCTGATGTTTTAAAGTTGGGTTACCTTACTTTCAAACTAATATTTAACTCACTTTTCACATCAGAAGTAAGACAGAAAAAGGAAAAAGTGGATCACCCTCACCCAAATCAATCAGTTCTTAGTCAAAAGTTTCAAATAATGACTGAACGTACAAATGAATGTCTACACATGAATTTTGATTAATGCAATAATAAGATGAAGAGAGCATGTTGTGGTATTGTTTATGTTGCAAATGAAAGTGATATACCCAAGCTGTAATAAGCAATTATAATGTTTATAGATTACAACAGAGATAAAGTGGCTTCTGTGAACAAAAACAACAATACAGACTGTGCATGATATACCTTTAACTTCTATTTTAATGGGTTAAAGCTTTATTGAAGCTTTATTACGAACTATATATTTTTACGGAACAGTGCCTCAAGAAATTGAACTTGGAACGGAAGCAAGAAACGATATCCAAAAGATGTGTGTCTTGACAAAACGTACATTGTTGTGTTAAAAACTCCTGTTACTTTGCATTTTTCCTGAAAGCCTAAACTTCCAGGTCAATAGTGCACAGCTTTCTACTGCTGCCTTGCTCTTGTTTCAACGACATTACGTATGATACAAATTTAAGCAGCAAACCCGTTAAACTGATGCTGAAGTTTTTTTTACAAATGTATATCACTATATTATTATTATTATTATATTTTTAATATGTATGTTTTCTGTTTAAAAGTCTGTTTTTTCTGTATGACACAAACCTCTGGTGTACTTTGTAAACTGTTGTGTGCAGTGGCTACCTTTTTATTTGCTTTATTCTATGCCTATTGAGAAATGTTATGGTGCCTTATGAATTGATGCTGCCACTAAACCGTATAGCAGTTAATGCAGTTCAGTTTTTAGAGAAGTAAAGCAAAACTATGTGGAAGGTGTTATGCAACGCATCTTTTGGAAATTATTCACATTTGTTCCATTTTGCCATCACACTGCATGTGGTAGACTGCTGGATTCAGTAACCAACTGTTTAAACATTGAACTCTTGGAGCTTCTTTGAACAGACCTTATGTTGAACACTTGGAATAAAAAATGCTTTTCTTCCACTATTTGCTTTGCAGGGTATTTTTCATTATTGTAAATCTCAGTTCACATTGTCTGCCACTGGGGGGCATCATTGTGATATTATAGCAACATAAATGAGGGTTCTTTTGGGCCTGTACCTGGCCCTTCCTTACATACATGATATAAACTGCGTATCTCAGAAAGTAAGCAATCTCAAGAAAGTAAATTGCATTACTTTGGGATTACCTTTGTTATAATACATTTGTAAATATAATTAACAACAGTCAGATGACCAACGCCAATAGTAGAAACATATTTTTAAGATCCGCAGCATCATTGTCAAAATACTCCTTGATGGAGCTTGGAGCTGCATTTTTTTTTCCAGTGTGAGATAGTTCTGTAAGAAACTTATAAATATAATGAATATTTCGATTTTAAAAAAGTGTTCACTACTTGCTACTCATAAATGTATTCTGATTACAGTAACACTGTATGATGTTGATGATAATAATAAACAGTGCATCCTTAGAAAGTGGTGACGTGAACTCATGCTTTTAACAAAAACATAAGCAGCAAGCAAAAAGCTGGGGTACCTTCCAACCACAAAGAATGTGTGTAATATTATACATCTAAGTAAGTTTGTGTAAGCTCTCAGTCATACAAAGCAAAGGGAGGTTTCTCACCCATCATCTGTACTTCTTAGCAGGTTTTTCTGACGTTTCGTCCTTCATCTAAAGGACTTTTTCAAGGTTATGAAATCTCAGACCGCGCGTTGGAGATTTATAACCTAATCCTGATGTTGCACACTTGAATAATCAAATTCAAGGTGGTGCAGTAGTTGACTTTTTTTATTTCTGCAAAACAATAAACATTGCGTTAACTCGCGTGTCTGCTGTGTTTTCTGCCATACTCATGCAGAACTGCAAATATAACAAATAGCCACAAAATCATAAAAACAAATACATACAAAACGAAATTATGTCATATATATGCCTTTTTTGTTGGTACAAATTAGATTCTATCAGTAGTGTTGGTGTTAAGACACACTCATTGTGATTCCCCAAATCTCCGCTAGCTTACTCCAGTTAGCATTGCAACTCTATACAGCTAACATGTACAAAACAGCTCTACATTAACAATCTGGTGGAAACAATTGGCCTAAACTGTCCCCTTAGCAACTAAACAATGTTCTCTATCCCTGCATAATCATTTTACTGTCCCACTTTACCTGCAAAACAATAAACATTGCGTTAACTCGCGTGTCTGCTGTGTTTTCTGCCATACTCCACGTTAATATAATAGATCCATGCATACCCATGCAGAACTGCGACTCTGGGCACAGACACGAGGTACAGGTGGAGTGGCGCCGCCTTGTGGTCGGGAGCAGGAACTACACTAAAGCGATCTAATAAATTTTTACCATATTTATGACTTTTAACTGAAAATAATGATATGAAATGAAAGAAAATATATATATAACAAACAATATGAAATGAAAAATATATCGGGGGGTGTCTAATATTCACTATGCCCACACTGATGCTAACTCATTAACAAAAGGTCTGTTTGAAGAGGAAGGGAGCAGGTCTAACGACCCTCCTCGGGCTAACGATCCTAACTCATTAGCATGCCACAGACCTATTGTCTGCTGAGATTGCTCGAGTGGAGTGCAGGTCTCCCCACACCTAAATCATTAGCATGTCACTGACCTATCTATAGTTAGGGCGTTGTTTTTTAGTTTTGTTTTTTAGTACGTAGTCAGTAGATGCGAGGCAAAACAAATCTTAACCCGCCTCCTCTGCTGAGAGAAGGTTTGTGTTTCCTCACAAAAATGGCTTCTTTCACCCCTCTCAAACCAATATTTGTCTCGAGCCAGAATTTTAACCTCTGTGTCGTTCACGGTGTGGTTGGTGGCCTTGAGGTGGTAACTAGTTTCTATCCCTAGTTTTCATGTTTTTCTTCTAATAATGGCTTCTAATGACAATAGTTGGTCTTCTAATAATAATAGTAAGAATAATATTGTTAATACTTATGTAGCTATTTTAGTGACACCAAATGACATTTCATTCACTCTGTGCACAGCATAGAGCCTGTGCAACCAGTCTGTGCCATTGATCCCTCCGACCACCGCACATTATTCTCATACACTCCAGACTCACTGTGACTTCTGTCAAATCATTCAATTCACTTTTTCAGATTTGGACCACCGTCTCATGGATATAATGTTCGCAATGGTCGCAACTCAGAGACTCTTTATGTTGAGACAGACAATTTGATTTTTATGTACAAAAAGTTGTTATATATTAAGACTATCTTTCAACATAGTGGCTCAGTTGTTAGAGCATTGGCCTTTGAGCCTTGAGGTTGTGGATTCACGATACATAAGACCTACTTCACGACTCCCACTGATGACTGCTGTCGTTGTGTCCTTGGGCAAGACACCTAACCCCACTTTGCCTGAAGCCCCCGCTGAAAGCTCCTGTGGACTCACCACCTGCAGGAGGATCAGTGAGGGGCTGGTGCTATGTGTACTGGGTGCAGCTCTGACTGCCACCCCCCCGACCCAGAAATGGATTAAGGGGAAGAAGATGGATGGATGGATGGATGTTTCAACATAGTCTTGCTATTATCTGACTTGGCTCTAGGAGAAAAAGCAGGGCAGATATGTTTAAGATAAACTTTTATTAGTCCCTTAAAGTGCACACTCCCTACTCATATGTCTTTAGTTACACTTGACAAATACATTCCAGACAGTGTAATTGTATAAGCTATTGAATTCTACAAGTGTTTTTTGTCTATTGTTCTATTAAATTGGGTGTAGCAATAAACATCCAAACATCTGTTATAGTTTGAGTCTGTTTGTGTCAGGAGACGAGGAGGAAAGGGAAAACTGATTTGATGCATTGCTCAGTTGTCTTGAATATGTTCAGAAAAAATTGAGTCGTATATTAAATCTTAGTTATTCTTAAGTTTAATGTCATTCCAGTTGTTTTCTTGTCCACTAAAATGTCCTATGATACTTAAATTCTTTTTTACATTACATTTTGGGGTCTGCTTGTGCCTGATTCTAAGGATATGTAATTGATGTGAATTGTGCTTTTTATATAATGATTTCCTAAAATGGCTGCAAGAAGTCACTGCTTTAACTTAGTTTTCAAGAATTAAATTCAATGATATTGAATTTATAATTATGTAATTTAAAGACATTGAAATTAAGCTGAAGGGCAAATTCAGACTGAAAGACCGGCCACAGCTCTCACCCGTCCAGGGCCAGCCAATCACACAGCTCTGCCAGCCTCTTGCCAACCCACTGACAGCAAAGCGGGCAGTTTAAAAGCAGCCACTTGCTGATAATCAGCGCTTCCTGAGGCCCTTAACACCCGCCGCCTCCCCAGCACCTTTGGCCTCTGCTCTGGCTCCTGCTCCGCCTCTGCCCCATTCACACCATGCTTCTAGCCACCACCAGTGCTTGACCCGGGGGATCTGAGCTCATCTACAGCAACAAATGATCTCCCCTCTGCAAGTGTCACTGCCGGGGTCAATGCGCCAGACAAATAAATCTTTTTCATGCATTAATGTTTCTGTCTTGGTCTCTTCAGATTTAATTCATAGCTGTTGCAGTTCGTTGTGTGACTAATTGTTCACCAGAAAACTGAAATCATATCTTTGGAGCTCACAGTTAATAATATCCTGAAGCTCAAAGGTACTAAAGCTCAGAGTAAAGTCTACAGTATATCTGTAACCTGTAACCCACCCCTAAACTAGTTTAGATTGTTGCTTACAATTTACAGTTTATCATAAAAGATCTTGCATAATAAGCTGCTTTTGTTTAACCATTTTGTTCCCCAAAATGCTCTTAGACCCACAAGTGTTAATATATTTGGCTCATGTTCAAGCTCTTTGGAATGTGAATACTAACAAGTCTACAGAGCTTACCTCCTGCTGGTGCTCAACAGCAGGAGCGATGCCAAGTTCATGTTTAAGTCAGTCGTTAAATGAACACATCATAAAAAGAATGTTGCTAAATGAACGTTGTTAAACAGCATCAATTGACAGCCGCTTAGTTAGTAATTTATGAAAAGTAAATTGTGATTGTTCTGGCACTATTTTTCAATTACATCGATCATATCTATTTGTTTAGATTAGCTATTATTAGGTAGAAAAGTGTAAAAGAGAGGACCACTCACACAGCTAAAAAGAAAAAAGAGTGACATTTTTTCACATTATGTTGATTATCTTCCTGCGGCACACTCCTCAAAAGAAAAAAAAATACCACGATTTAGTGAACAATAAACAGCAGAACAGGTTTTCACTCAAAATCTTATGATATTCATGATTCTTTCCTTTACACGGATCAATTCGCCTGGTCTCTTTGCAGAGAAACACGCCCAAAGCATGATGTTCCCACCCCCATGTCCCACAGTAGGTATTGTGTGAAAACCCTCTGAAGACTCACAGACAAAGTTTGACCTCTGTCATTGCCAACAAAGGGTGTATACAAAAAACTTAGATGGACTGTTTTTGACTAAATCCACCAACATTTACAAATACATTCTTTAAAATCATGATTTTCTATTTTTTTATCCAATTTGTCTCACATTTGGTGGCTGACCAAAGAAGTTTTTGCCCCACTGTATCATGTACAGTAATCCCTCATCTAAAGACATAATCAACACATGTGCGTTTTATTGGATAGCCATGTTTCTTTGTTAACATTACAATGTTTGCTAATAATAAGAATTAACATTACAACGTATTTGTTCCACAGTAAGAAAATTCTAAGAATACTGTATATTAACGTTGTGCAAGACTACATACTTGTTATATAAATCTGTTAAATCTTGCTAGAATATTGAGGTAGTAAGCACTGCAGTTTCACAGTGATGAAACCACTGTACATGTTGGCAATGTGAGGTTAAAGGTGACTAAGTAAAGTGGCAGTGGGCACATGTGGTCCCATATTGCATATTCTAACATTTTTGCACAATGCATCATGACATGCGTGAAGTCAAGTTCGCAGTAGCCTGGCCTTCGCAATCCGTAATCTCCGGTCAATTATAAATTCCCTGCATGTACGTCTGGGTCTGTTCCCAGGGTCTGCAATTACATCGGTTGAATACCATTCAACCTTTCAGCGAGCATGGGAGGCGGGTGTTGTAGTTAGATGTGGGTGATATCAGTTTGCACCAAATTGGCAAATTGTAATTTTGCAATGGCGAAGAAGGATATAGTAAAGTAATCTGTTCTGGTACTATCAAGAAATTGAAGCCGAGCAAGTGGAATGTTTAGCAAATTTAATGGCTTGCAAAGTTTGTGGAGCTACTCCTCATGTGCTTCATTTGTGGCTAGGCTAAATGCTAGCAACTCACTGGGGCGCATTAGTCACAGCAAACTCAGATCCAATCGTTTCAATCTGCAAAAGGCGGTAACCTCCTCCCACCTGTTAACAGAGCTCACTGCAGTAAAGCCATACTTTAGTACAAGATGTAAATTGTATGAACAGGCTAGGCCAGCTAGTTCATTGTACAGTCTGACAGCAACAGTAAAGGAAAGAGGGTGGATAAGTCTGTCATAGTGTCTTACAGGGGGTTGCAGTCATGGTCCAGCATAGATGTTAGTTTGTCCAGGACCCTCCTGTCCCCCACCTGCTGCACTGTGTCTAGGGAACAGCCCAGGACAGAGCTGGACTTCCTGATGACCTTGTCCAGCTTCTGTCTGTCCCTCTCTGTGATGCTGCTGCTCCAGCAGACCACACCGTATAAGAGACTGATGCCTCCACAGAGTCATAGGGCAGATAGAGTCGGCTCTGGCCCTTCTTGAAGAGTGTGTCTGAGTTATGTGGTCAGTCCAGTATAGGCAAGGCTAGTTTACTTGTACAGCACAATTCACACACAAAGTTTGTGTAAACTCTCAGTCGTACAAGGATTAGTCAAAGCAAAAGAAGGTTTATCACCCATTATCTGTACTTCTTAGCAGGTTCTTAGCAGGTTTTACTGTTTCGTCCTTAATCCAAATAACTTTTTCAAGGGAATGAAATCTCAGACCGCACATTGGAGATTTATAACCTATGGCTGTGGTTAGCCACACCCTAATCCTGAGGCTAACTCATAAACACATCTAAGGTGTGTTAAGATGTGGTAGGGAGCGGGTCTAATGACCCTGCCAGGGCTAACGATCCTAACTCATTAATGTAACAGACCTATTTTCTGCTGAGATTGCTGAGATTGCTCGAGTGGAGTGCAGGTCTCTCCACTCCTAACTCATTAGCACGTCACTGACCTTATCTATAGTTAGGGCGTGGTTTTTAGGACGTCGTCATAGATGTGAGGCAAAACAAACCTTAACCCGCCTCCTCTGTTAAGAGGAAGAGGAATTCACTCACAAGGAAACTCAAAAGCACTTCACAAAACATTGCATTTACAAAACATAAGTATATTTATGCTGACCACCACCAACAATGATGTACTGTCTTCATAAGACTGACAGTACTGACTACATAAGTCAGTCATGAGTCAGTCATGTGCCCACCAATGACTTGAACGTCATGCAATGTTTTGGGATGAGCGCCTTTTTGTATTTTTGTGTCAGCCCTTTGGGGAAGGACATCGTAAATTTACTATGAATGTTACTGTGAGTCACATTTATTTATTTTTTTCTTGGTTGGGACAGTGCATGTTGATGAACACACCTCTCAGGATTATAGCCATGGGCTAATTTGAAACCGTTGTCCCACAGTGGCACGGAGTCGCACTCACAAACAAACTTATTTACCCTGAACAATATACATGTTGAGCACAATTTTCCTATAGATATGCAGTCCTATAAATATATTTATTTTATTGTATCTTATTTTTCCAATCAAATCATCTACAATGACTACAATGAGGCACTTTGGTTTTGACTGATATTTATCATATTTTGTATCAAATCTATTGTTTATTTCTGTACATTAAAGCGGCTCCTTCATTGGAGGTTTTTAAATCTAGTTTAAAGACACATTTGTACGCCTTAGTTTTCAACACCATCAAAGTATTTGTGTGTATTTCATTCATTTCTTTTTTTCCTGTGAAGCACTTTGGAGAGGTGCTGCTGTAGTAAATGTGCTATACAAATAAAGCTAACATTGAATCTTTTATGGACCAAATGAAAAATATTTATAATTTGAGTTTTTAGATCAGACAAATACAAATAAATGCGCATAAGAGTGAATCACAAAGGTCAAAACATCAGCCGTCGTAGTCATGAAGAGATTTCCATAAACTGCTCGATAAAAGGCGGCACGGTGGCTGAGTGGATAGCACTCTCGCCTCTCAGCAAGAAGGTCCTGGGTTCGAATCCCGGTCGGACCAGGGCCTTTCTGAGTGGAGTTTGCATGTTCTCCCCGTGTCTGCGTAGGTTTCCTCCGGGTACTCCGGTTTCCCCTACCACTAAAAATATGTTCAATAGTTCTAGCATGCGCCTCCTGTACTGGCCCCGCTCCCATCTCTGTGTGGAGTGAGAGACAAATGCCCAAAATTAACAATTGTAAACCGCTTTGAGACTCAGATCTGCAGTGAAAAGGCGGTATATAAATAAAAACTTACTTACTTACTAAAAGGCATGTGTTTTACGAGCTTAAGTAAGAGGCTGTGATTAGAGACCTGAGACCATTGTGGGTGTGTGGAATATAATTATGGTGACTGCAGACAACAGACATTTCTCCAACAGGCATCAATTATTTCATGTTCTGCATTATCAAACAAAGAGAATCATGCATACCCCCGCGATGAGAATCGCAGATCTTGCTCCTTAATGAGAGCTCATTTTGTCCACATTCTCCCCAAGGGCAACTAGGGAAAGTATTTAATTTAATGCTTAAAGTCTCACACAATCATCTCTCAGTCCAAAGAGCCAA